TCAGCAGAGTTTCATGAAAACGCTGTCATTCCCAATGAGGGTCAGATATACGGATGAAGTAAAGTTATTTTTCGAAATTTTAAATGGCTTACAACCCATAAGTGGCCATAAAGCCATTATTATGCAAATGGCAGCATGCAAACGAAAACTGCTGACAGGAGAGAGGGAAAGTCATCTTTTCAATCTCGTGATTTTGTCTCGTATGTGATGACTTGCTTTCGTAAAGCTTGTGGTACTGACTATGCTCTTTTGTGGTCATCAGTCAGCTCTGTGGGTAGTCGTCACACCTTGAGCCGTTGGCATGAGCAGAATGTCTCCAGTTTGCGATGTCCGGTGCGCCTTCAGCTTTTCCAAACTCTTGCTTGCCAGAATGCACCAGTTTACTACATCTTAGCCGGGACAATTCCTCTCCTAACGCCAGTCTGCCTCTGCGTTTGCCGTTCCATGACCACCACAACGTCATCCCTGATCACGTCTGCCGTGCTTCGGTTCCCTGTTACGGGTATTTTGTTACTTTTGGTTATATTTGCAGCTAGGTGCCAACCGTAACTTGTAGCCTCCTATTCCTTTCCCTTACAGTCATCTGTGTGATCTACCTCACGAGGATGAAAGACGAGGATAAACTCAGGATATTTCGTTGATGGTTTCGATATTTCCTTGCTGCGGTCGCTGAATGAAGCATGCTGCTTTGAAGACTGAAGCGAAGATCATCGCGCTGCCAGATTAGCTGATACACCGCACCCAGCTGGATGTATCTAATGACAGGATTTCTAAATGAGCTTCGTTCGTCTCTCTCGTCGCTTGACCTGATTCTTTATCGCTTCGTGTCGATCGATCGCAATTAAACCATATTCAGTTGTCTGATTAAATTTTCTAATCACGAGAGGCCGTCGGCTTTCAGACAGCGATGCATGAAGGCTAGGCTAATGAGATTAACGTGAGCGACCAACTTGTTTCCACACTGAGACGGTTGTGTCGCTTTTCTATTGTAGTTTCGAAGCCGTAAGTACTATATTACTCGGTCGGTATTCACCAAGCATTTCAATTCAAGACGTCGCCGTTTCGATGAACAGTTTTTCCAGGACTGCGTGAATGATTCTGGCAAGGTGCTTAACCGCCGCCCGCCCTTCTAGCCGAAATACAGTAGAAGACATCCAGCCTGAAAATCAACATAATTGACCGTCGCTGGATCGCAGCGGATCGGATCGGATCGAATCGATCTCTGTCTTGTGTTCACATCGAAAAACTTGATTTCGTGATCTGTCGTGAGACCCACGTACATATATTGACGGGGAACATTATCCGTTTCGCATGAACGAAAACGACCGATAGTCAACAACGACCTGGTTTTGTAAAAACGTCCTTCTCGTTATTGTCGTTATTTACTCGGTGTAAGTTCTCGAATTCCTCAGCTGAAGCGCCATCGAACCGCAGCGGACGTTTGGAGACCTCTTGTGTTGCAGCAGCAGTGACTCGGTTCCCAGTTTAGCCTCCCTGTCGTTGTGTGCATCTTGACTCATGCTGTTCTCACCTGACAACTCGGAACGGGCCAAATGATCGCCGCACTACTTGAGCTTGGGGTTCTTACGTGCGTTCATATGATATTCTCGCCTTGGATCCTGTCGACCAGAAATCAAACGAACTGACTATCTCAAATTCGATTTAGCTATGCAACAACAAGGGTTCCAGCACGCGATATCAGAAAACGCTTCGTCACATGCATTCCAGATTTTGGTGTCAATAGCAGTATATTATAACGTGATATGACTTGGCAAATTTCAGGTTCAGTGAGTGGTTAGATGGCGTGTTCAAGAAGATACATATCATGGTGATACCTGTCCTCTCTTACCTACCAGTACCTCATTTTTCTTTTTTGTGGCACTCTAAGAAACCGGAAAGCCTCAGATAATTGAGAGACCACCCACCTTACACTTTCGTGATAGGGTGCCACTTGCGACACGGTTATTTTCATAAGGCTTATGTAGCGGCTCTGATCATCAGGCAGGAGTGCATCACAGCTCTTTTTCTCTATGGATATATCTACCGTTCGGTGACCACCGCACGCAGCGCATAGTCTCTCGCTTCCTTACCCATTGGGTGGTGCTCATCTGCCCATCTCGAGAGGAAGGAAAGCGACTGATCTGACCTAGACTTGAACGCAGGGCTTCCCCAGTTAAAGTCCAACTTTCACTCGACTGGAGTAACCCCTGTCGAAACACTTATTAATGGCAATTTAGTGGTTTGCTTCGATGAATAAATCTGATAAGCTAAATTATCTTCATGCAGATTCAAGACTAAATAAAAAACAATATAAAAATCGCAAAGTTGCGAACGATACTACGAACAAAACTGTCGTAGTTGGCCTGTCGAATGTCACTCACTTAACGAACAATAAGGCAGGACAATCTTTACAGCCGAGGTTCTTTGCGAACATTCATGAATAGTGCTGTACCGCCAAGAAGAAGACCTAAATTTCTGCTTCGTGAATAAGAATGACTGGTAAGATTGCGGTAGCGATCTGATGGCCGACTCCCCGATTTCTATAAGATTTTGGCTCGATTATGGCTTCAGGGATATGGCAGCATTCTTTTCTAATGGAATGGTGCCATGAATTCTGATTTTTATTGCATTTAGCCTGACCAGCGGCTTCATCGTAGCTTCCTCGTTGCATTGCTAATTTTCATGATCGGTGTTGCCTTCCTGAAAATTTTCAAAGAGGTACAAGTGACATGGATTTGTATGGTACGTCCAGAATGATTCCTTTTCCTGTATGAGATAGTTATATCTCAGGGTATCGCAGCGTATTTTGGTATGACATTTTCAGGGCATTTTTGTTAAGTGTTAAAAATAAATTTATGAATAGCTCAGACTTTTCAGAAGTAAATAAACGTTAAAAATAAAATCATCAAAAATAATCATTATAATTCGTTTTCTCTAGTCCACCAGAGGATGGATGGGAGCCTCTCCGAGGTTTCGCTACGAAATTCTGTCTTCTGTGATTCTTATCCATTTTGCTCGGACAAGTTTCATTCGTCCATTGAACTGGAGGTCTTTCCATGATTCATTTACTGTCTTTTTGAACACAGTCTAGCGTACCATCGGTAGAGTATTGGTCGGTTCTTCTTGAAACTTGTCCTGCCCTTTGCCATTCTGTATCACTGTTACAGTCACTTCCACGACTTTGTGCTGCTATTCATTAGATTGTCTTCTTATTCCTCCCATACACACGTACAGACGATAGTTACAGTTTGATTAATATCACCAGCTTTCTACAACTGACAATGAAATAAATGCCTCTAAGATTTTTACCATGAAACTCTCTTTCCTGCAACCTGTATGTATCCTACTCCAAAACGATTCTTGACATTTTCTTGTCGAATTGTCACGTCAGCGTGAAGGCATCTTCCTATGAGCTTGACAGACTTTTTCCTACTACTTTCGTTACGTCTGCGAAGTTACGTGCCTGATGTGTTTTTTACATATTAAAAACGCTCGATGAAACCTGAGAGTCAGTGTGCTGTGTATGCGTTGACTATCTTTTCGGAAAGAACTACGCCTACCACCTAAGAGATAGGCTGGCATTAACCGACAAGTAATTCCTGTTTGCCCTGAAATTGATCTAACAGCTGTGACATGATCGTTACGTTTGCCAGCCTACTAATTTTTGTCACAAGTGTGCAAAGCTATTCTCAGAATTTATCCGGTTGTTTAATCGGTACGAATGAATGCTAAGTTGCTGCTATGCTGAACCGCTTGCTGATCTTTGATGATTCACTTTCAGCTGTGATTGTAATCTTTGATGCAGTCAGTTTCAGTGAGGATAAATGCATTGACGCTCTGGCTTAGTATACTGCTTTGCACTTTTTGTCAGAATTTAGAGCTCAAACATGGCATATGAGTTATTCTATTAGCAGTCAGTTCCTCTGAGCAAGAACTTCACCCCAATTTATCTCTGTGCAGCCAACGAGAAAACAAATGTCAAGATTTCTGTTCAAGATACGAAAAGCTTGGTATCCGGCAGTTTAAAATCATGCTGTCTAGCGTTTACATAATCGCTTACTAAAGATTGGCAAAGGTGTAAACGCCAAATAAAAAATAAGCATGATGGAGGGACTTCGATAGCAGTTTCTTAGAATTCAAGCGGATAGGGATGTTCTACAGCTGGGGATGGAGCATTTAGCCTCCTTTGCTATCCCGATGCTCTGAGACGGTTATGCCTAGCTTTGTTTGTAAAGGATTACTGAATTTGTCAGCAAAAGGTGGTCCAACCGCATGACTGTACTGGTAACCGTTGAAGCAGTCCAGTCAGTGTTTTCCGTCTAGTGGATCTGACTGATCCGTGAAATCAGTAGAACGACAAGGTTAGGCCACCGAGCAAGCAGGAAGAAACGAAAGATGTGAAAAGGCCCAATGCCGTACTACGCCGCTGGTCGTTCCGTAACGGCTCTGGGGGAGTGATAATGGACAATGACAGAACCAGTCCGGCATAGCGATCAGCCGACATGGAACTCTGCCTTGATCGAAACCTATACTGATGGTCTTGGCGGTCGTTTAGCGGCAATAGCACCATCGCTGCGCATCGTGGCGAACACCGAAGTGTCGTATTTGATCCACTCCACGTAATCGTTCAGAGCGTACGGAAATCCGATCTCCTCTTTCCCGCAGCAGCGCCCGTAACGATAGATCTGAAGTCTCAACAGCTGCTTAGTTTAAAGCGTGATATGGCCTTGGCTTTGTCATTACTAAGGAATTCAACCGAAGCACGATGTTCCCATTTCATGTACGGTATTACGGTAAACACTCATCTTAGCAGTAACTGTCCTGGCGTGGTGGCACGCATTTTTAGATTTTGGCTTCGAACTCCTTAGGTGCAAGGTTCGATTCCGGCGGAGGACAATATTTGTGCTAACCACAAATTCTTTTTTGCAAGGAATGTACCAGGGATTGCTTCAGGCCAGGACTAATCAGTCGGCGAAGCGTCGGGCTTAGAAGAGAGAGGTCCGGGTTAAGTCCCGGTTCACTCGTCCTTCTTCCTTCCAAGAGTGATAAACGAATACCACTCGATGGGAAAGAAACTAAATACGACGCTTTCGACATTTTTGCTGTAGATTCTGCGTTCAAGTAATAAGCTTCTCCTGACTGATGACATGGAAATGAATATCAACGCTCCCACCATGAATTTCATATGAAGAATAGCGTCAGAAATGATTCTGTGATGAA